GGTCAAGTCATGACTTCTGTTTTAATATATAAGATGTATATATCTACTATATTAAAACAGAAACAACAAATTTTATTCATGTGTGATTTTTTTTTAAAAGTGGACATTAGCTAGAAAGTATATTAAATTTTACATAACTTAGTTATCATATTTTTTAGTAACTTTATATTTAATTTAAAATATAAGTAAATATTGTTTAAGAAAATTCTAAAAAAATCTTTTCAGAATCAGGAAAAAATCTATTTCATAAAATTAATTAATGTGAAATTTAATAATCATAAAATGTAATTAGAATTACAAATTGATATACTTTTATTGATGTACAATAATTAAAATCATATAAATATTTTAATTATGTTTTAATGATAATAAAAACTTAAATTGATTATTTTGTTTAAAATACATTTTAGAAATATTTTTTAAAAAAAATTTGTTATAAAAAATATCATTTTATGTTTCAAATAAAAATCTCTTATCCACTTTAGTGTATTTAAAGCAATTTTTCAAAATAAGATATTTACTATAAAATTTATTTGCAAGTACAATAGATTATAATTTCTCTTTAAAAAAAATAGTTTTTGTTCTTCTTAAGAATATCTAAAAAATATTCTTCTTTGTTATGTAGGTCCAATTTAATTTAACTTCCAAATACATATTTCAAATTTAGAAATAAAACCACAAACTATTTAATACTTGTATAAAAACTAACATGTCTTTCATTAAAGCTAAAAATATAAAATCTTTGTATCTCTTTTAATAATGATATATTTTAATTTTAAATATAAACAATATTGTGCACTAATATATATTCAGTAGCGTTTATATAAGGAAAATATTTTATAATAAGAATAATAAATCATGTTAAAATAAATTATTATATCAAATTAAATATGATAAATTATATTTTATTGATTTATTTTTTAATTTATTAATTTATTTTCATAAAAATAATAATTTATGTAAAAATTATAATATGATGACAAAACAACTTAATATTTGTAAAATATATAATACATGTATAAAAATTGACATATGTTAAACTTTTTTTATACAATAATATATTATATAAAATTAAGAAACGTAAAAACGTATTGCTAAAAAAAATCAACTTTGAAGGATAATGTGTCAGAAGTTGGTATAAATTAAATACAAAATAATTTTCAAATATGTTATTTCATGCATATATTATTTTCAATAAATAAATATAAATACAATGAGATAAATATATAATAAAAGGTGACAAATGTATGTGAAGGTTTTAAACAATTGATTAATTATAATATATAAACTATAATTATTTTATTTCGAAATAATTATATAAATATATTATTAACATTAAAAATGTATATTACCAATGATTTAAAATAATTATATATGTATATAAACTGAAAACAAATATCCGTGCAGTTGTGCAGATTAAAATCTAATTTTAAGCTAAAAAAATAAATACAGTTTTATATTAGTTTAAAACTAAAAAACAAAGCAATTGTAAGGAGCTGTCGACACCGAACTACTCCTAAGATGGCCAGGGGTGAAACGTCTTGCTCTCTCGATTATTGCTAATGCTAATTTTAAGGCATGGCTGTAGCTGAGGTAAGCCGTAAACGATGTTGTGTATTTTCATGTTAACAATCTCAATAGCACAGAAATGGTAATTTCAATATAAATAGTACTTGCTGGAAAATAAATAAAATAAAAAACTAATGGATAGAAGTGTGTATAATTTTTAATCTGTAAATTGTAAAACATCTTTCTTTTTTAATATAGAGGCAGTGCAACTTTTGACCTGCATCCATTAAAAAAGAGGATGGGTCGGCTCCTCCTTTCTATATGATAATATTTTAATAATAACTAGATTATGATCTATGCATCCACATGAATTTTATATTTTGGATATATTCTATATAATTTAATTATTTATTTGTGCGTTTATTTAATTCGATTTTATGTTTAAAGAAAAATATCAAAAAAAAAATTTTATAGTAATAATGTCAAGCAGTATATTATGTAGATGTAACCGTGCAATGAAATATTAATTTTGTACGTTTGTTCGAATGAAAAATCAAATTCAAACTTAACTATTTGCATTAAAAAATAAGTTGAGATTTTAGTCACATCTAATATCAATAAATATTCAAAGTTTTTAAAACAATATAAAAATTTCTTGAATTTTTGGTCTTAACCTTTATTTTATAGGTTAGCTCAAACACAAACTTAACTTTGATCTTAATTTTGCAAGCCCGGAATATTTTATGATAAAAAATTTCATAAATAACTTAACAAATATTTTGGTAATTTAAAAGAATTTCTGTATTTAAATATTTTTTATATTTAAATCAGTATTTTTAAATTCAACCCAAACTGTGGTTATACCGGTGATCCAATAATTCAATTTTGATTTTTAGAAATATCTGTATTTAAAATCACTAAAATCCGCGACTAACCGATTGAACCGATAGAGAACTGATATGTAATATTTATAAATTTTAAACTAAGTTTATTTTTGTTGTTTTATATATTTTTTGAAATTTTTAATGTATCTAAATCATTTAAAAGAAAATTGTGAGAATTATTAAAAAAATGAGATCTAATATTTCGTATTGTTTTGACATAAGATTAATTATAATGTTGTTTGGAAACATGGATAGTATATAAAGAAATAAATATATTGTTTGCAAACATAGATAGTAGTATAAATAAATAAATATATTGTTTGAAAACATCGATAGTAGTATAAAAAGAAATATTATTGTAGGTTTAACTATAAAGTAGAAAGATGTATTTAATTTAAAAACTTATAAAATAAATGTTAGATCCAACCTAATGTTTCTGATTTAATAAGATAGATCTGAGTTTCGTGTGTCTACATAGATGTTTTGTTTTTATTTTATGATAAATAAATATATATCATTAGAGAATATATATTTTTTATAATTTATCCCTTTTATAAAATTATATAATATAATATTTCTAAACATAATAATTAACAGTTTATTTGAGTAATTGTTTTTTGTAAAATATCTATTGTATTACCCACATATTTAGAATATGACTTGTGCAAATGTATTTTTTTTTTTAAAAATCAAAATTTTACGATAATGCATGATTAAGTTAGTTACTATTTAAAATCTGGTACTATATATTTTCTACTTTTCAAAAATAATCATATTGAATTTACCTTAGCCTATTATTTAAATGATTTTTTATTTTTAAATTGAGATGTTAATGATTTTTTAATTTGATAAAAAAATGCTGAAAATTAGGAATAAGTAACCTTTTAGTGGAATTAATGTATAAAGAAGTAGTAGTTTTAATTTATGAAATGATTTATTAAATTAGTAAATGACAAAGAGTACTTAAAATTAAGGTTATTTAATACTTTAACAGCATTGCATTGTAAATAAGTTGTAAGATTTAAGTGTATTTCTTATTTGTACTTCTATTTTAATAAGATAGATAAAATGAAAATTGTTTTTAGACCAAAAGTATATACATTATCATTATGAAATAAAAATCCAATATAGAATTTGTCCCATTAAACTTATTTATACCAAAAATCCAAATTACCCTCCGAATATACGTTTATAAATTTGAAATACAATTTTTTTTATTAATTTTTTTTTTGACAACGAACCGCTGATCTATTACTCAAGCTTGAGGTGGTCTTGGAATCCGGACCGAAATAGAACAACCAACAAACACCAATTCTCGATAGAAAGATCGAGCAATCTTAGCTAGGGAATCGAAATATCCGTTCTGTGACCTAGGAACATAGAAAATCTTAAAATATGGAAAGCAAATCCGCATTATCGTTAGTTTTTCCAGTTCCGTTGAGAAGCTTGGCCAATCCTGTGGCCAATTAGGAATAATTATAATTATAATTAGGAATAATTATAATATATTTAAATGTTATACAATTATAAAAACTTATATTATGACCGTTAGGTCAAGACAACCTGTATCGGATTGAACCCTTCTTACTCCCTATCTTTCTTTCTTTTAGTGCAGAAGTTACTTTACTTAATAACGCAGAGTCTCTTCGGACCACTTTACTTTCATCAAACTCAAATATTAATCTCTTTCTTCAGTACTATGGAGTCGGAGCTTATAACACTAATATCTCAACTAATCCATAACAGAAAACGTACGGATTTGAATCCGAGGGCAGAACTCATATCGCTCATCTCAATCATTACTCAACTGATCTCTACCGTCAGCTCTCTGGATTTGGAATCGCAGCCGAAGAAGTCGGATGTCATATCTCTCATCTCTCAAGTGGCATGAGCATCCGCTTGCTCTGTTTCCAAGACAAACTTTCTTACCTTGCAATCTCTGTGCCTTGCCCCATTCAAACTGTCCTTTCTATATCTGCCCCCCTTGTCAATTTGTGGCCCATCAAAAATGTATCAGCTTACCGCGTGTTATCAAGATATCTCGCCATCTCCACCGAATTTCCTTTACGCTTTCTTTCGACCAAGGAGATTGGTCTTGTGGTGTTTGTCGGAAGAAGATCCACAATGATTTCGGTGGCTATTCTTGCACCCACAACAATTGTTCCTACGCTGCTCATTCGGTATGTGCCACGCAGAGAAACATTTGGGATGGTCAAGAACTTGAGGGTACGCCAGATGAAGATGTTGATGAAGGAGAAGGAGTTGAGCCTTTTCTAAGGATTGGCAATGGAATCATACAGCATTTCAGCCATCAACAACATTATTTGAGACTCGATGATGAGAATGCGGACTTTGATTACGACGAGAACAGAATATGTGAAGCATGTGTCACACCAATCTATTTCGGTAACTTCTATTCTTGTACGCAATGTGATTTCATTCTCCACGAAGAATGTTCAAATCTTTCTCGCAAAATACATCACCCGATACATCCACATTTGCTCACCTTAGTGACTCAAACTGGTGATAGAATCAACATTGAGAACACATGTTCAGCTTGTCCGTGGTGCATAACTGGATTCTTCTATGAGTGTGGTAAAGAAGGATGTAATTTTAAGCTACACATTCCGTGCGCCACAATTTCTGAGCCATTAATTCATGGAAGCCATATACATCCTTTATTCCTAACATCTAAACCAGGAGAGCGGAGAAAATGTGCATTTTGTGAGGGTTATAGAAATGTTTGCTCAGAAACATTCAATTGTATTGAGTGTGATTTTTCTTTGTGTTTCATGTGTGTTACTACACCTCAAAAGGTGAGGTATAAGCACGACAAGCATATGTTCACACTTTCCTATGGGGATGAGACAAGTACCATGACGAATTGGTGTGAAGTTTGCGAGAGGAAAATAACTCCAAAAGCTAGGTTTTATTCTTGTGATGAGTCTTGTTCTGTCACGTTACATATTCATTGTCTGGCTGGGATAGACGAGTACATGAAGCCGGGTTTATTGTTGATACACCCCACTGGTGTAAACATAGATGTTCTGCGCAACAATTGCATGTCTCGACCTATCTGCAAGCTCTGTCGAAAGCGTTGTCGGTACCAAATAGTGTTCCAATGTTCCGGATTCATATTTTGCCGCATATATTGTGTACTTAATGGTTTCTGGAGCGAAGTGATCTAATAGTTTGATGGACACTGCTCTTGTTGTAAGACATGTTATTGAATTTGTATTGGTTAGTACCAAACACTGATGTCCACGGAAACTTTTATTACTCAAACAAGTATTTGATATTTTTCACAACAAAGCACAGGGGCGGAAAAGGAAGCTTAGGGATCATAGCGAGAAGCTTATTGTTTTTCAGATTTTGAGTGATTTGGATATTCGCATATTCTTTTTCATGTTGAAAATGGCAGATATATGGTGGATATGGGTATATTAAAGAAACATCAGACATTGAAACCTCTCTAAGTTTGTCGCTTTAGAGCTTCACACCTATTTGCGTAAAGAACTCGCAGATGAATTTTCACCTCTTACGTGAAACCCAAGAAACCAACTAGTAAGCTTTCTTTAAAAGCGGGAGGACGTTTTGTTTTAAACTTACAAATGAATAGAAGATGTAACAGAAAAAGCAACAGCTCTCTGAGCACGCTGAGCTTCATGCCTATAAAGCTCTTTCGTCTCTTTCATCACCTTCCTAACCTTGCTTCCCTCTTTTCAGTTTTCACAGCATCTTTCCTCTCGCTTCCATACTCATTAAGCTCAAGCTGATAAAATCACTCATCGATTTGACGAGAAACACACACTCACGTTTTCATCAACACTCTCACTAACCCTTGCCACAGGTCTTTTACAACCTCGTTGGCTTCCCCCTGTTGAGTAAGATTAGCTTGGATGATAAAGTCCTCGTCCAATCTTCAACATCAGAATCAAACTCAGATCCATCACTATTCTCAAGTCAAGCAAGGCAGCCACTTCAGGATCTATAGCTTTTTTCACCTTGACGTTAACATTTTTATACGCCACGCTACACATGGACTACCATTACCTTCTTCATAATTCATTTGATGTAGATAAATATTTGGGATATTTCCAAATATTTATTATTTATTTTATTAAGTATTTAGATAATTATCTTTATTATTTTTAGATTTAATGGTTTTCTTATATATAGTTGTTTATGTTTAAAATTTATATTCAATTTATGATTTGATTAATAAAAATTGAAATCGCTGATAATCAAATTTTCATTATGCGATGTTCAAAAGGTTTAGTAATTTATAATTTAAAAAAACATTCATTGCAAATTTTAAAATATAATATCAAGTTGTCAATTTTGTTCAAAGCTTTTTTCAAAAAAATGTTCAAAGAAAGTTCAAAATTAAAATATTTAAGCATTTTCTATGGTATATAGTTTAATTTAAAAGATATATATATATATCAAAGGGCATAGTTTTGATAATCCAACTCCAAAATCTCCTTCCTCACATGAACAGTTGGTAAAGGATAACTAGTTACTATCACTAGAAGATAACATAAATCTCAAGTAAAAGTATTTAATTGAAATAAGAAAAAGAAAAATAAATGTTTTGGACAAATTATAAACCTCGATGTACACACATAATCCATAAAACTATGCCCTTTGATATATTTCATATAAATTAAAAACATTAATTTATAATTCTATGGTTCAAATTTTGTTTATGAAAATATACAAATGATTTCAAAATCATATAAGTAGTAAGTCTCATTTCATAAATATCAAGATTAAAAGATATCAAAGGGTATAGTTTTGATAATCCAACTCCAAAATCTCCTTCCTCACATGAACAGGTGGTAAAGGATAACTAGTTACTATCACTAGAAGATAACATAAATCTCAAGTAAAAGTATTTAACTGAAATAAGAAAAAGAAAAATAAATGTTTTGGACAAATTATAAACCTCAATGTACATAAAACTATATTTGTTATTCACTCAAAAAAAAAACTATACTTGATCTATAATTAAATAATGTTAATAGTTAACAATGAACTCATTCATTTCTAAAAGTATAAACAAAATATTTTAATCCATGCAAATGAATAAATTAGAAAGATATATCAAATATTTTGTATTAATTATATGATTAACAAACAAACACAGACAACTCTATGATAAACAAACATATGTTTCAACAATTTAGATATAAATAAGGAATGTAATTCATTATTTTAACTTTTTTAGATCACCATAGAATATATTACTAACAATATTACAATTACATCAACTATAATGAATATTAAACATTATAAACCGAAAAAAATACCCACGTGTCTGTGTGGGTCAAGATCTAGTTATATCCCCTATATATTAGCTTAGAAACATTTGAAAAGATGTAACCTTAATTTTGTATTAATTAAAAATAATCTCATCTTATGTGGCATTTTTCTATGTCTTCTAATTCAGTTTAGAAGGATTGTAAAGCATCTTATATAGACTATAATCTAAATATTATACTGTCTAACAATATAATATTTCGCAAGCTATAACTGATCGCATATATCAAATATTTATTATTTCACAGACTTTCCTTAAATAAAACCTACAGAATTATCTAATTTGATTAAAATATATATATATGTCAATTAATGATTTTAAACAATAAAGATTTAATCATGATATAAAACCAAGCTGATATAGTTTCATTGTAACCAAATAGAATTGAGATTTTTCGACCTAAAAGTTAGGTTCTTTGCGGTAAGTGATATTTTGACCTAAAACATTTTTAAAATGAAGATCAACTTATCAGTAAACAAATTATGTAATTAACAAAAAGTTTTAAAAAATCGTTTAAAGACCAAAATTTTAGTTCAATCAAAAATACATATTTACTTTTCCATAGAATATTTTTAATTTAATTTTTATATAAATTTATTCGCGCAAGGTGCAGGTTTTATCCTAGTATTTAAAGTAATCAACATGAACATGAGACCAAGGTTTGTGATCGTTACAGAAAAGGTTTGTACCATGTCTTTTTAATATAGAAGATTTCTTCAGTTTGTTATTGTTCACAACTATGCACATACAGTCTAAAAGTCCAGATATTTAAATGGGTTAATTTACAAATCAAAGTATTCAAAAAAGAAATTGGATAACAAAATGTCAAAATATGTATTTTTCATTCTTTTTCCCTCATGTATAGTTTTATTTGTTGATCTTATGTGAAATCTAGAAAGTTCAAAATCAAACCAGCTAAAGTCGTACTTGTTATGTTTTAAAATTGACTTGATAAGGGGTGGTTTTAAATCCAATAAAATTCTACAAGTTCGGAAATAGATGAAAGCAGTCGACATATCTGATAAACTTTTAGAATTAGTAGGCAGTGACATCGCTTCTTTAAAGAAAAACAATAACCATAAAACATCACGGTGACTTTCACAAACTCAGAGACATCTCTACTGAGTTCTCGTTCTGCTGCTTTCTGCTGCCCTGACTTGCGCGAAATAAGGGTGAGCCTGTCAATTCACAAAAGTATCAATCAATCTTGTTCTCATTATCATATCCATTTAAACACACATGATTCTGAGTAATGTTCTTATACGTACCATTGCTTCTTTTGCAGTTAACCTGTCTTGATGATCATACCGAAGTAGCTTGTCAAGGTAATCAATCGCCTACGTGTAAAGAAAACATGCAAAAGAGTTACACAATGTGGCAGAAAGTCTTTAAGTGTTTCAAAAGGAATAAAGAGAAGAACAAGCTAACCTCAGGTGAGACCAAATGGCGATTGTCAGCATTGATGAATTTGGACCAAGGCTTCCTGCTGTGTCTGTGGAAATAACCAAACAAGGAGAGAACTAGTTATTACAATTGCTCTAATCTTTATTAAGTTATTAACTATGGAGGATATGGTTTCTTCTGCTTACCTCCCAACAAGTGCCTCTAGTTGGGCATCAAGTTCTAACTGATACTTATTCAGATATGCATTCAATTCATCGGTTCCAAGTACCTGAGTCAAGAGTCGAACAAATAATCCTTAGAAGTGAAACAAGCAACGTGATACCTTTTACAATTCTAAACAACATGCTAAAGGAAACGAGCGTCATAAAGTTTAGCCGTACAGTTTAAATTACCTTGGCGATTTTGACGAGCTGATCTTGGTTGTCATGGCCATAAAAGAAAGGTTCCTTGCGGAATATCTATAAGAAAAGATTATCAGACGCATCAGATGACAGTATAAATGTGGAGCAGGAAGAGGTACTCAGTACTCACCATCCCAGCAAACATGCAGCCGAGGCTCCACATGTCCAGGGAATAGTCATAGTCCTGTAAATCCACTAGAAGTTCGGGTCCCTTGAAGTATCTGATATAAGAGACAACATTTCATCGAGCTTAGTTACTGATAAAGACTACATACTGTAACCAGTCTAGATTTTAAAAAATGAGGTAATATACCTTGAGGCCACACGGACATTATACTCTTTTCCAGGATGATAAAACTCAGCGAGACCCCAATCAATAAGGCGAAGTTTGCGCAGCTCATGGTCAATCATGACATTGTGTGGCTTGACATCTCTGTGCATTATACCTTGTGAATGACAGTAGTCCAACGCCTGCAGCATGCCAAACAAAAACCTCAAGTTTATCACTGACATTTAATAGTTGTGGAACCGAGAAAATTCCAAAAGATCAAAACTTATTAACAAACGGATACAATAAATTACCTTCAAGAGCTCATAGATGTAGTAACGGATGTCATAATCAGTCAAAGTCGGATACAGAACCTTAAAGTCTGTACTGTTCACATACTCAAATATCAAGCTAGGAGTCTTTGAGTGTTGATCTCTAACAACATCAAACAGCTTCACAATATTTGGGCCTCCACAGAGATTCTGAAGTATCTTAATCTCTCTTCTAATCTGTTTTAAGTATCCACACAAAACTCAGAAACCCTAAACCCAAAATCAAAACAACAGAAAGCAATTAAAGTACACACTCACCTTCTTCTTCTTGACAGGCTTGAGAATCTTGATAACACACTTCTCGTTGTTGTTAACGTTAATCCCCTCGAAAACCTCACTGTATTTCCCTCTCCCCACCTTCCTAACCACCTCGTAATCATCTTGCTCCCTGACACAGCAAACATAAACAACAAAAGCTTTAAACTTTAATCAACAGCTAAGAATTAAAAAAAACTCAAAC